CTTCTTCTTCTTCTTCTTCTTCTTCTTCTTCTTCTTCTTCTTCTTCTTCTTCTTCTACTTCTCCTCCTCCTCCTCCTCTTCCTCCTCCTTTTTCTTCTTTTTTTTTTTTTTTTGAGTCCGGCTCTGATTCTATAGCCCAGGCTGTCCTTGAATTCACTGTAACCCTCCTTGTCTCTGCCTCCTGAGTGCTGGGATTACAGGCATGAACCACCATGCCTACTAACAAGCTTTAGGAAAACAGGGATGGATGATGACTTGACCAGAGCAATGTCAGATGTTAAAGCAAAAGAATAATATAAGGTGTGCCTGGACCCCAAAATGAGTTCACGGACAGCCTGGGTAATTTGTTCCAAAATAAAAAGTAAAAAGAGGCTTAGGGATATTGCTCAGTGGTCATGTACTTGCCTTCCATGTGTGAAGCCCCCAAGTCAATCCTTAGTGCCACAAAATAAAACAAAACAATTATTGGTTTATTTGTCTGTTCCAATTGACTTACAGTTTCAGAATCAGCCAAGAAATTTGCGATTCCTTCAAAGCAGTATGGGGCTCATTTCCTTAGACTGTGGATCAGAGAGGATGCAGTACTCATCCATCCTCTTGCTCTTTCTTAACCAACGGACACCAATCCTTGCTCAGACACTTGAGGATGCTAGCTAGAACCACCATAAACTCATGGGCTGAACTATCAGGTAGCAGTCTCTGCAGTATTCTGCTACTGCATACTGCTACTGCCACAGATGCTTTCAAGCACCCTGGGCAACTGCCTTTACTGACAGAATGTTACTCACCCTGCCTGAGATAAACACTTTATTCTCAGAGTCTAAGAGACTGGGACAAGAACACAGACACCATCTGGTGCACAGGGAGATTCTCTGACAGAGTATGCAATTATCAGCTCCTTTCTCCCTGCGACAGGAGAAGTCCATCAAACCCACCTGGGAGTCTGCAGGGCCTGATTGTTCCCTCAAAACTTTAAGGAGAGCCCAAAACTTTAAGGACAGCAAATGCTCCTAAATAATACTGTTGCTTTGTCATACTGGTAATTGGAATAGTATAAAATGCAACAGTTAAAATAATCTTTCCATTTATGTGTGTGTTTTCACTTTGTTCGTCTTGTGTGTAATGTATGTGCATGCATGTGTGTTGGCAGTCTACCATGGCTTGGCAGTGGAGGCTGGAGGACCACTTTTAGGAACTAATTCTTTCCTTGTACCACCTGCATTATTATCATGTTCACTTCCAAGGGCCATCTCACTGCCCCAAACAGTACTTTCCTAGGTACATTGTCCTCAATGACAACTGCTGAAGAAGAGGACATAAAACCACGTCTCCTTTGAGAATGTTCCAGTTTGGAACTCCAAGCATCTCAGTGTGTGGGACTCCCCGGTGTAACCAGCAGGGATTGTGCCTTACTGTAGAGGAGACTTTCTAACTCCATGCGGAGGTGAGTGCCAGGCTTGGCCAGGCTCCTTTTCTTATGGAAGCCAATGCTTTGGCAATTAACTCTGCCAATCACAGCTGGCAGCTGTTCAATCACACCACACATGCAGAGCTTCTCCTGCTGGCAACCCCAGGAACCAGATTTCATCCCCTCCCTCAAAGCAGCCTTGGCTGCGCTCCCGATGCTGCTGCTCTACCAACTAACCGTGTGCAGTGCTGCAGACGGGCCACATAGGAGGCTATCAACGCATGCTCATCGGCCAAGAGATTGGGCATGTCCTGGCTATACTGTAACCTGGGAACAGTGGAAGCAGAGACAGCAAGCATGACAGGTACAGAGGGAGAAATGAACATGGATTAACACCAGCGAACTTAAAAGTAGAAGAAACAAACAAATCATGATAAAGAAAACAATAAAACCACAATGCATAATGGAATATGGTGTTAGATCACGGAGATCTGCCCCACTACTTCACAGCAGTCTTTTCTGTTTCTGATTTGGCTGACCGAAACATGTGCTGAAGGGAGAACCCTGCTCCCCACTTCTGCCCAGTTACCTTTCTCCTTAGTTACCTTTCCTTTGTACTAAGGTGACTAAGCACCTAGATTTAATCATAATTAGATTTCAGGCAGGGAACCCCTGTCTATGTATCTGTGAGATTGTGAGATGTCTCATAGAATCTCAATGTTACTACACCTAATAATTTTGACAGTGCTCTAATGTCTGAAAGCCCACTTGAAAAATTTTCAGATCTTACAAAATGTCTTTTTCAGTTAAAAAACAAAAAACAACATCATTCAAAGTAGGCTTGCACTACATTTGGTTGATATGTCTCTTTCTTGTCTGTGTTTGATTGGCATATATATGTTTTGAATCAAGAATAGTTTTCTCTTTCCCCTGCTTCTTCAGTATGTTTGTGAAGAAGTCAAGATACCTTGTGGAATATTCCACATTCTTGGTTTCATTGACTGTTTTCCGTAGGGTTTGTTTTTCTAGTCTCTGTAATTACATCTAGATGATTAAGTTTTTATTCTTGTTTGTTGTTCTTCAGCAACATTCAAGATGACCTCTATCACAGACTTATGGATGATATTATTGGCCATACTGCTCCGTTGTCACCTACCCCCTCCAACAACCTTTCATTTTATTGTTTCTCTGTGTGTGTATGTATGTGTGTGTGCGTGTGTGTGTGTGTGTGTGTGTGTGTATCAAGGTCTGACTACGTAGCCCTGACTTTCCTAGAACTCAATACATAGACTAAACTGGCCTTGAACTCAGAGATCCACCTTCCTCTGCCTCCTGAGTGCTGGGATTACAAGTGTGCGCTACCAAACCTGAATACTTCTATTTTTAATTATTTGTAAGTGTGTACTTGTGTAAGCATGAATTTGTGTGCATCAGTGGCCTTGGAGGCCAAAAGAGGGTACTGAATCTCCTGGAGCTGGGGTTACAGGCAATCGTTAGCTGACCAATGTGGGCTAGTTGGTCTATAAGTCCCCAGGGAATTCTTCTGTCTCTGCCTCTGATCATGGAGTAGATGTGCTTGGATTACAAATATGCACCATTCTATCTGGCTTCTTCATGGATCCCAGGGATGCTTCCACAGCAAGTACTTTTGCCTACTGAGCCATCTTTTTGGCCTTGAATTTCTTCTCTCTCTCTCTTTAAAGCATGTGATGGACTCAATGAGAAATGCCCCCCTGCATGATCTCAAGCATTTGAACACTTGGTCCCTGGTTGGTGGTGATGTTTGGTGAGGTTTAGGTGGTGCAATTGAAGAAAGAATGTCACCGGGGACAGACTTTACCATCAAAACCCTCTCACCCCTTCCAGGTTGCTCTCTCTGCTCCGTGCCTGCATTTGCAGATAAGTGCTCTCAGTTTTGTATGCCTGCTGCCATGCCTGCTGCTGGCTGCTATGCCTCCCGGCCATGGTGGATTCCTAACCCTCTGAAAAGATAAGCCCAAACCTCTTACATGATCAATCACCTGGGCCACAGTGCTATCACAGCAACAGAAAAGTGGTTCATTCGATGTACGTGTAGATGTAGGGGGGGCACACATGCACCATGGCATGTGCGTGACATCAGAGGACAACCGTCATGACTTGGTTCTCTCTTTCTACCATATGGTTTGGTGGCCTGAACCTTTACCTGTTGAGCCATCTAAATGGCTCCACGTCTTGAGACATGGTTTCATAGACCTCATTTTGGTCTCAAACTTGGTATGTGTCTGAAGCTGGTGTTGAACTCCCCCCCCCCCCGCCCGAGAGGGTTTATTTCTCTGTGTAACTGTGGCTGTCCTAGAACTCCCTATATAGACTAGGCTGGCCTTGAACTCAAGTGTTGGAATTAAAGGAGTGTGTCACCATGCTGGTATTGAACTAATGATCATTCTGCCTTCATGTCCCAAATGCTGGGGTTACAAGCATGTTTCAAACACACTCAGGCAGGCATAATTACTTCTTTAGACCTAATTAATCACTGACAGCAACTGAATCAGCTTCTGTTCCAGTGGAGGAGGTAGAAAGTAATTTTTAAAAAATCATTCATTTTGTGTATGTGCATACATGTGTAGGCACAAGGGTGCCACACGAGTGTGGAGGTCACGGGTCAGCTTAGTGATATTGGTTCTCTCCTCTCACCATGTAGGTTCTGAGGATGGAACTCAAGTCCTCAGGCTTGGCAGCAAGCACCTTGACTCACTGAGCCATCTCACCAGCCACGAGTAATAATTTTGCAGTATACCCAAATGGTAATGATAATGCCGTGCAGAAAGTAGATTGCGAAATGGATGGAGAGTTTTAGATTTTTAGGTTAGATGGCAACATTATGGCAAACTTTAACAAAATGAGGTCAGTCCTGCAACTCTTCGGTTTCTATTCAAAGTGAATAGAACATTCAGGGGATTGACCTCCAAAGAAGGCTAAAAGCATCAAGTGACCTCTAATGCTCTGGTGGACCATTATTCTCTAATACTGTCTGCCTGAGTGGAAGCCGTCCTCCCAATTACTAAGGACCAGCTGCTCTGCTGAAAATGTCTATTGTACTCTCAGTTTGAAGGCGCTCAAACACTCAGCCATACCCCTCTATCCCATTACCAGGCCCACGGGCGTGCTGAAGTGAAGTAGTAATAAGAGTCATCTCCATATTTGAGATTCTAAATAATTTCACAGGGGTCAAATTTTGTACCTTTGGTTTCCCCCTTGCAATAATCAGAAGATACTATTAACAAAACAGATGTGAAGGCCTCCGAAACCTGCTGTAATTGGAGGTCATTATCTCCTGTGTTGAATTCAATAATGAACTACGACAGACTGATTTCCAAAGTGCTGTCTCTGGGCTATGATATTGCAGAGTCTAATAAGAGCAGTCTGTCTTTAGAAATACACTTTATCGTTTCAGCATCCTTGTTCCAAATTCATAAAGTTAAAGAGCCTATTTTTTTTCAAAAGGCCAGATAGTATCTTAGGCTGTGGAGGCCATGGAATTTTTGCTGGAACTGTTTGGTTGCCGCCAAGGAGGAAGCAGCCACAGACAACATGTAGTCAAACAGACACAGTTGTGTGGCGACGAAGCTTTACTTACAAAACCAGGCTGCTACCTTCAGGGTGCAGCTCGCAGTTTATATGGCAACTGAAGAGCAGTCTGAGGCCAGACACATCTCACTCATTATGCCAACACCTCTGCAGGGCTCGGAGTCTTTGCTTCAAATTTGGGTCAGTATTAGCAACCAAAGAAGCCTAGAGCCACCGTGACTGGTTTGACTAATATGTTTAAACCTACTTTCACTCTGAATATGTTCCAGAGTCCCCAGTTCCTAGGACACGATGATGTGGGTGAGAGACTAAGGACAGCAGTCACACTCTTCCATGCTGACACAGTCCAGGGAAGAGAAGCTTCGGGGTGAGCATGCTCTGTGTCCAGGGAATCCTCTCCAGCCATGGACCAACTGCAAGGGGCTCCAAACCTAACAGGGCCAACCCAGGATACAACATAGTGTCTGTATTGTTTCTACCAGGCCTGTGGTTGTAAATATGGCCACACAGGTCTCAGGTGCTTTTCAATCTGGTCTAACTTTGATGGGAATGTGGTAACACATACCAGACAACGCCCTACAAGATGAATGAAGGTCAACGTGCAAGAAAAGGACAAAGAGGCACATGAACTAACTGGCTTTTGTGGTTGAACCAGAAGTCAAAATAACAGTAAGAGAGTCAATATTTAGGAAATAAGGCAATAATAACAAGCTATGTCAGAAGTCAAACGCAACCCAGTTAGATGGCTCAGCAGGTAAAGGTGAGTGCTGCCAAGCCTGATACTAGAATTTCATCCCCAGGACCCACACGACAGTAGGAGAAAACCAACTCCCGCAAGCTGTCCTTAGACCTGCACATGCCTCTCTTTCCCCAGTACATAAAAACATAATACAAGTTATTATTTTAGGGGGTAGGGTTTGATACAAACTCTCTTTATATACTCTTGGCTGACGTGGAACACTACCTATAGACCAGGCTGGCCTCAAACTCATGGAGCTCTATCTGCCTCTGTCCCCTGAGTGCTGGGGTTAAAGGTGTGTGCCTCCACACCTGGCTAAAAACATAATACAGATTTTAAAAGTGCATATCAAATAAAATTTTTGTTTGGTTTTTACTATGTAGCTCTCATTGTCCTGGAACTCACTCTGTAGACCAGGTTGGCCTCAAACTCACAGAGTTCTGCCTGTATCTACCTTCTAAGTGCTGGGATTAAAGGCCTTTGCCACTATGCCCAGCTTTAAATAAACAAACAAATGAATGAATAAACGAGAGAAATGGGGGGAAAAAAGCAGCCACTGATATGTACACTTAATTGGTGAACTAAATTATGTTTAAATTTTAACTCACTAAAGGTTAAAATAGCGATGTGGTTACTTCCTCCCTTCCTTCCCCAGGCTCTAAGTCCCTGTGGTTCTCCTGTCCCTGGAGCTCTGGGGTTCTTTGGGGTCTCTACTTTGAGCATCCTGCTGCTCCCGTTTGTGATTCCATATCTTAATTCCCAACCGCATCACTCTGACAGCTTGCTGGAGCAGAGCAGGAAATAGCTTAGTGGAGCTACTATTAACTGAGACTAGGTGCTGAGGAGGAACAGGTTTGAGAGGGAAGGTTAGCTCGGGTACACACAGGGAGTTTGAGATATTTCTGAGTAGAACTCAGGAAAATGATCCGGTTGGGATCTAGTTTTACTATATACTAGATATAGTTATATCTAGCATATAAGAAAAAAATGCAATGCCTCTGAAATCTTGTTGTTGTTT